TTTAAAGTGGATGGAGGACTCACGACAGATCCAGCTGGCAAACAGGTGATACCTGGTGAGGCCTTTAAACCCGAGCAACTGGACAACTTCCTCAACGAAACTTCCCCTGGAAACGATAGCAAAGTCGTTCTGAGCCTGATAGATGCTGCTGTTGGTTTCTTGAATCAGGAGCTGGCGAATCACTACAGCGAGGAGTCCGAAACGTTAAAGAATACCATTCTACAAGCAACCCTTGAAACTCCCAAGTCAACTATTGGCCAGAATCCAAACCCGACCACCATCCGAGATCATATCACACGGCATCAGTTACGTTATGATGGACGTCTTCTCCGGTACACCGAATTAAGAATGGGGGGCTACAATGCTTCGGAGGGCTCCAGGTTTGAGAGCATCATCGGACTGAATCACGCGCAGGCGAGAAATAAAGTATTAGACACTATGCCATCGCACACGTCATTAAAAGTGAGTTGACTTCTTCACTTGCGGGGTTCGTGATGGTTCTATGAGCCGCAATACCGAAATATGGCCCGTCTTTAATTTTGAGGTTGAGAATACGAATGTTCGTGACCATGCCTTAATCCTATATAGCAACCCCCCCCCCCAAAAAAAAAAGGAAAAGCACATTCGGAGCGTCGAGGAAGCGTCCTGACCCACTTGGACACTGTCGTGTATATAACTGGGACTTCGTCCTCTTGACTTGAGTAGTGATCAAGGCTAATAGACTCTCAATAACCCTCACATGCTTGACATTAATCCCCCTATTTCAACACATCCAACGGATATCGGAATCGGGATCCCGGAACAGTATTCCAACAGCGAGCCCGATTGCAGCAAAAATCTGGCCGTGTGAACCCAGAGATGTCCTCCCAAAGCTGCGACATCTCTAATGACGTATAGCCATGGGAACCATGGACTGTCCGTGGTCGGGCTGCCCGGCAGTCAGTGTGGGATGGCCCCCCTGAATGTTCATTGTTCGGTGCTGAACAGAAGAACGAGTCGAGGACGTCACGGGCCGCGGCTGGAATCCTATTATGGTGGTTGCTCATATGCCGACGTTGGTGGTTTAAACATGCCGGTCCCGGTCCATCGCCTCGGGTGCCATGCACCACAGAGTTCCAATCACCGTCCGGGAAGAGTCACTGTGCTGAGTCCTGGCAGGAATAAGCCGGAAGTCCGCATATAAGCGCATCAAGGCCTACGATGTACAACTCTGTATCTTTCTTTTTGGATAAGTCGTGGACCACGAGCTCTCCAGTGCCTTTGTTAAAATCGAGTAGCTCCGATCATTCCTTGAGAATTCCCTCCGAAGAATCACATCGTTGTGAGTATGCGGGAGATAGGGGCCATTCTCCACGTTCTGGTCCAATCCATTTCTCAAGCATGGAGGAGGCGCCGTATCACAGCTTTCAGTATCGAGCCCAACACAACAGAATTGCCAGCGAATGCTTTCCCTATATGAGTGCAGTCATCGTCAGACAATTGAGTGTCCTTCCCTAAGCGCATGTCTTCGAACTCCACACACATCTCTGCCATTCTCCTCCCCAGCTTAGCCCTTAGCACCTCGATGTCTTCGGCCTTCGAGGGAGTCATTTTAAGGACCTCAAGAAAATGTTCGGGCTCCACTAATGGGAGGCAAATGGTGTTGTACTTCTTACTCAAATCAGCCGTATCAGCCGGTATGAGGCCAAATTTCTCGGGCCCCAAGAAGCCTCCTGCTTCCTATCAAATGTTTGTTTCACTTCAAAGGATTCCATGCTGCGTTGGGTTGGTTTTCCTCTTCAGGTGGTGGTTTTGCTTCAGTTACGATGTTAGCGACGGGATTGTCGAATTTGACGGCGACTGAACAGCGAGGGAGCCTGGACATCAAGGAGCAGACAAACCCCTTTGCTTAGCGCGCGCTTGCGATGGGTGTGACAGTTCAGCCAGCACGACGCGTCCAACGAATTGTGCTGCCCCCCGCCAGAAGGAGAAAACGGCCGCACTGAACCCAGACGCCTCGGCGCCAAAAGTAAATACACACACCCTACGAGCGCCTGGTTATCACGGATCACAGCGGTCTTCAAATACAACTAGCATTTTCCAGGTGCGGATCATCCGACTGCCCTCTACTTCTAGAATACGCAAGATCCTACGATGCTTGGATTTGCAGACTTTGGGGCCACGAGAAATGACCCTAGATATGACTTCACCATGTTTAACGACCCTGCTCGCGCGAGTTCTCCATCTTTGAGGACCACACTGCTCAGCATTCAAAGAGAAAAACCCCCCTCGAGGCCGCCCATGTGCTCCAGGACGTTACAAGGGAATACCTACCTCAGGACGCTCGCGCGGTTATAACCACCAGCGGAGGCCGGCCGCCATTTGTTCATGGCCATGGGAAGGATATTGAACACGTACCGGCCGCGGTAGTCGTTAAACAGACCCCGCAAACAGCGTCATTCAAGTTCAATCTCAACAGCACCATCATTTGTGAGTGCTATTTTGTCCCTTTTGAGGACGACATCACCGTAGCCAATTCAGGCCCAGGCTCTTTGGAGTACGGTCGACTCTTCGGCGGCAGATTGAGCCACTGGAGAATCTCGCACGAGCTTGAGTACATTGACATACGAATACTGCCAAAGACTTACGACTTGACCTTCGAGGCTCCAACGCCGACCGTCAACAAGTCCGAAAATTCGACAACAGCTCCGTCCGGGTTAAAGCGGAAGTTTGACGAGTTTTTGGGCAAGACCAGGACAACAGCCCCCAACAAGCGCAGGCGCAACACCAGCGATGCCTTTGTATCAGCCTCGTCAAGCCAGGAGTACGACTCGCAACAACGCCCAGCGAAGGCACCGAAGGCACCGAGTCATGGCCAGCCAGCAGAAGATTGTGGCAGCACCGCCGTCGTGGGTAGCACCCAGATAACTCTCGCATACAACAGATCAGAACCTCCACGCCCATTCAGGCTGACAATAAGACCGCGCCATTCTATGCCTGGCCAAGTCACGGCGTCCACGCGCAAGTCATCTGTCGGGAACAAACTTCCGTCAGAATCATACTCGGTATCAAATGTCACATCTATCCCCTCGCTGGGACGGTCAACGTTCACGTACAGGTGTGAGCACCAGAGGAGAGGCGGAATTGTTGCCCTGAGGGTACCGCGAGATGTTATGTCTAAGGATGCAATCCCTAAATTGGCGGCTGAATGGAAGGCGCTGAGTGACGACGTACTGTCGCGGCTGCGAAGTGTAAGGCCGGCCCCTCACAGCCATGGCGCGCTTCCTGGCTATATTCACAAAGCTCGCTTGCCCCAGGCTGCTCGAAGAGATCGGCCCGTTCAAAGGACTGTGAAGGCCCAAAAAGAGGCTGTGTCCGCCGGCGGTTTTTTTTTTTTTTTTTTTAATCCGTCCTGTGTAATTTTTTTTTATGCCAAAAAATTTCAGATTTAATTTTTCAAGCCCAGAAGAACCACTATGAATTTAATTTTCTCGCCCAAAAAAAAATTCAGGCTACTATGAATTTAATTAAATTTTTCCGCCCAAAAAAAATTCAGGCCACTATAATGAATTAAATTTTTCCACCGAAAGAAAATCCTGGCCACTCTAAATTTAATTTTTCAAACCCAAATTTTTTTAAAAAAAAAAAATTTGGCGCGCAAAGTGAACAAGTAATTGTTTTGTTTTTTTTCACGTAGGCTTCAAAAAAAAAAAAAAAAGAATTAGGCCCAGCTACAAGACGCCGCCCAACTCCTCAGATCAAGGGTCTTTCGGCGTGGCATTGCGAGTGCCCTCTCCCTCACAATCCAACATCCTGGTTTCCTCTCTTCAGGCCCTTCCCAAACACAAACTCCAATCCTTCGGAACCTTTTTCTTTCTCCCTAGCAGTAACAGATAGTGTAGGAAGCGACTGAGGGGCATTCCTACCCCCTTTAGTGTGATTGGCAAGAGAGTACCCGGTAGGTCGAGGAACTGTTTGATTCACGCATAGAGGTACATCTTGTTGACCCACACAGTTGTCACCCACAAGTGGCTGGTGTCCTCATCCAAGGGGTTGTGCAAAACAACTGAGGAAGAGAGTCTTTCCGCCGGCGGCTATTCTGCACAGCCGAGCATACCATAGTGGCAGGTTATAGCAACAGTGCCAACTATGCAAAACATATCACCGTGTTCCCAAATAATGTGAAAGATTTAGTTGCAAATGTCCTGCCGCACCGTCAGCTTCGGGTGATGGAAGACATCCATGTATCATGTATCGTTCTGTCCTTGCGAAGGAGGAAGGTGGAAGCAGCCCTGTATACGCACGGCACAGATAGTTCCGCAAGTAGAACAAAGCGTCGACGAAAACGAAGTCCTTAGCATCGACGAGATCGTGGCTAGTCCTACCGCGGGAGAGAACCAGTCCACAGGCAGTCATTCGCCTATTGTACGGCCAGGGCGACGGGATGAAGTTGGAGAAGATGCTGAAAAGCTCCAGGCACCGGACCCAAACTTTTGCTAGCTTGCTTGCATCGAGGAACATGAGCTTGCGTACATGGGCCGATGTCGTGTTGAGGCGACACGGGGGCCGGTTCGCAAACCATCGGGTTTTTCCCTTCCTCATTTTCAATCTAGAGGTGCGATCGAGGAATCGGAGGGTCAGCCTGCTCAGCATAAGCCAGCAGAGCTTCTCTAATCTCGAGCGCGTCGTCCACTCGCTGATCAAATCAAGATCAGATGCGGCGAGAAAGGAACTAGAGGAAACCGAACGCAGTGGCATTCGCGAGCTCCTAAAGAGCATCTCGCTGTACAGGGTTTCGTCAGCCAATGTCCAGAGAGATGTGACTAGTTCGCGGCGGGAGATCAAATCTTTCATCCTTTTTTACGGAAAGCCAGCAATTTGGTTCACGCTGAACGCGAGCGATCTGACGAACCCAATCAAACCTCGCTTGGCCGCTTATAGGACTCATGACCCAGAAGATGCGGAGGCGTTCTTGACGAGCCTCGATATGGCTTTCAAACGTGCTCGCTTAGCAGTCTCCGACCCGATGAGTTCCGCATTGTTCTTCCACAGAGAAATATCGCCTTTTTTTTTGAGCACTCTGTAAAGGTAGGTCAGGATTCTGTGTTTGGCCGGATTAGCCAATATTTTGGCGCCGTAGAAACCAACGACCGTGGGGAGTGGGGGCGTTGCATATTCATGGACTGCTTTGGCTGCACGGAAATGCTCAGCTTGGGACACTGCTTAAAGATTTATGCGGTGATGGCCAAGGTGCTCAGCATATCGAGGATAAGTCTCGCGATACGCCAATAGTGTGTTTTCCGAGGTAAGAATAACCACGGCGTGGAGCAGAGGTGCATGGTCGGCCAGGAGTGAGAACTAGACCAGGAAGCCAGCTCTCTTTCTCTGCAATGCAATCAGTTTGTTGGCTTCTAACACGCTCCTCGCTGAATAAGCCCCGTGCTCCTTGCAAATGCTGCCACCTTCAGGACTGACTGAATTATTATGCTTCAAGGAACCCAGTCTGTCATCCACGTTTGTTCGCCCAGTCATCAGTCTACGCTCTAACCCAGTCCTTAAACTCCGCCGTCCCGCATACCCTAGACCAAGAAATGGAGAATGCAAAAAAAAACCAAGAGCTCCTCAACGACTTTCTTCGATAGGCCCTCTTCAAAAAAGATAAATGATTTCCACGGAGTACCGAAGTTAGATGAGCGATGATATACAAACTGAACCAAGACGCAGCGACCGGTAGGTACGGTGCAGTCGTACCGCGCTTTAGGGTGGCGCTGGTTGGTTGTCACCAGACGTAGCATGATTCCAGGACGACCCAGGCCAGCAAGGTTGGTCGTATTTCCGATATCGAGGCATGGTTCACCTAGTTAGATCATGCCGACGTCACACTGCGGGGCAGCGAGTGAGTATATAGCAGTCGCGGGATTCATTTTTTCTTAGGCGCGCTTTTCATAGACTCCAGCACATTTCTTTTCGCCAAACGCTCCCCGAACCAATGCTAAGTCTTGGGAGCCGAAGGATCTGTCTGGAAAATGTCGGTATGTAGTCTGTGAGTATATCAATCGCGTTAAGAATATATCGGCTGAATCCCACAGTCGCAGTCGCGGGCGCTGGTTTTCGCCCAATTTAGCAGGTTGCTGGTTGCTTGACTCCAGCCAGGCGCGTGGCGCAACTCCACCAATTACGACAGGAACTGCCATTTTCCACTGCCAGCGGCAACATCGCAAGAAAACAAAATCCCATCGAAACACAACGCACGGCAGCGCCACGCCTGAGCGGATGTATCTTAAACGCCTTTCTTCCCCCATGGCGCCTCCCCAGGAAGTCGGAAGGCATTCTGAGCGGCGGTACCTCACACTTTGGCGCAGCCTTCACAGGAGAGAACGGGCAGCCGACAATGCTACAGAGAGAGAGGTTAGCGGTGGGGACGTACGACCGAGTTCCCAACGCGTTCCGATGTCGTGATGGACAGCTTGAACTCTTGAGCTACGGCCAAATAATGAACTATGATGAGATAGGCTTCGGATCCAAACAGGCGCTGGATAGGAACCTGCACGAAAAAAGGCAGGCAGGCGTTTCTGGACTTCCTGGACAACAATTAAAAAATCTCTTTTGGAATGCCTCAAACCCATATTTACGCATTTTCTGACGGACCTTGATAAACTCCGCCGAAAAGAGAAGTACGGACCTCTAACCAGAGTTTCTATTCCGGTACCTGTGATGTGGACCGAGGAAGGAGATGCAGAGGCTAATCGCGCTCGGTGCCACCGAGGCAGGGTTTGATTCAAATATACTCGACTTCACAACCGAGCCTGAAGCGGCTAGCGATTACATTGAATATTTACAGCGCAAGGCCGTGCAGGAGGAACAGGAAACCATGCTGCTGCAACAGCGGAAGGCCGTACAGCAGGAGCGGAGGCGCAAGCAGCTGACAGCGCCTGGCCGTCACTCTCGTGGAGGTGCCGCGAGGAGACCGAGAGCATTTATTTTTTTCAAAGACGCCAAGACCCACGTCGAAGGCCAGTGTGAATCACCCTGGAACGACCTTATCTCGGACGGCATGAAAATTCCGGGATAGGACCTCTGGCGGATTGTTGAGGAGTGCTGCAAGAAACCATTGGATATGGCTGAGAACGAAATTCGGAATCATCGTGTGGTCGATAAGGTGATCCTCATGGGGACGGCCTTGATCGAAAACAAATTCATCAACTCCTTTTGGATGCGCCGCATTGACAAGGCAAAGAAAAAATGCCGCAAACATAACCTACCAGTCGGAGTTCTAGACGCGGTGCGAGTTTCGTCGCTCCGCGCCACTGCCGCGTACTAACTCGAGGCATAGGAATGCAGTGTGCTTGGGCGCATCGCTGCTCTCCTCCAATGACCCGACGGAGCTGTTCTGGGAGCAGGGCTTTGGCTACGCTGTGACTCGGGCGACTGATGAGGTCATCCTACAGGCCAAGGTGGCTTATTCTCGTTGCATAAGACCATGGCCCACGTAACTGTTCCGTGTCCATAATTGTCTTTCAAGAGTTCTAAAATTGATAAGGATGCTTCTACCCTGCGGCCGGCGAGGTTTCAACTATCATGAACTTGCTTGCTCGCTTCTGCTTGATAAGAAATGTTGTATGTGTTTTGCCAGAGAATATGAGCATGGTCGCTTTCCTATCACGCTCATCAGCCTAATAAACTCGAACGGTTTTATGCAGCACCTGGGGAGTCTATTTGACTTGGTCAAGACAAACAGACAACTCCTGCGGCAGAAAGGCCTGCACGTATTGAGTCTATTGACCGACTCAGAACAAGACAAAGAACCGGCAAAACAGGCCCGTAAACATCCGCTTGCCGAACAAGGCTTAAACGATGGTGACTTGATGGGTACAGGAACTGGCCAAGAGCGGATTATTCATTCGAGTTCCAGGTCGGTCAAGATTAGGCCTCTGCCTCTGCAAATCAAGCCGGTGATCTATCTTCCTCATTAAGCTACAGTGTTAGGTAGGGTCAGGACCACTCCCTTGTTATGTCCAATAGTATGTGTTTCCAGAATATATTGGATGATCGCGGGCATGTGGACGGGACTGATCATAGATATCGCTGCTATTTCGCTACAATGCGCCACCGGGTGTTACGCGGCCATGGTGAAGACTCAACAGTGTTGTTGGCTCGCATAAAGATGGCGAAACTAGCCCCAGGCCAGGTGCCCCAAGACTAGAGGGAGCTTCTAGAGGTTCGGAAAGCGCCAGATTCCGAATTTGTCCATTGATCACGCTTCCAGCTATTCCTCTAAACGAATAAGCTGCGTTGCTGACCGATGCACTGTCGGACTCAAAAGATTTCAAGGTTGTCAAGGAGTATTGTCACGACATTGGTGCATCGGCGCTATTGCGAAGAAAGCCGCCCCTCAGTACGCAGAGTAACGTGGACATAGTAGACATCGTGTTATAATGGTCTGAGAAGCGGCAGGTCATGCAGAAGGCCTTCTTTGTGATCTCCAGAGAACAAGTATCATCACTGACTTTGGCCATTGAATGCATGCTATAGATGAATGGATTCCGTCCTGTTCGTAACAACTATCTTGCGTCATGTCAAGCAAAGCACTTCTTGTTCTTCGTCCTGGACTCTCGGAGATGAATGTGTTGGTCAGTCTTAAAAATCACGTGTTAACGGTATGT